CTTTTTTTTTTCACAATTTTTTTTTTCTCACTCCATTTTCTTTCTAATCAACCCATGTAGTGAGTGTTAGGCTAATGACTCCCAAGCTAGATAGCTTTAGGGCATTAAATGTAAAACACTCCTAAGGCTTAATAACTTGAGTTGAAAAGGCTTTGAAATTAGCTTCTTTTTTTTTCTTTTTTTTGAAATAGTATCCTTTACTTTCCACATGTTTGAATAATTTGTGCAATTCTCCCTTAACAACGAAAATAATCTACAAAAATCCTTAGAAGGGTATAGGATAAACACATGATAGATTAAGGTGAGGAGAATTGGGTAAAGAACGAAAGAAAATGGCTTACATAAAAAGCACAAGGGGGTTACTAGGGATAAAAGTGATACGGGTCGGCTAAAAGTGCTCAAACGAAAGAAAAAATGCCTATATCACTTCCTTGAATCCATGTGGTTCACGAAGTATGCCTCAAATAGATAATGAAAGTAGTTCTAGCAAACAATTTAAACATCCTCAAGTACTTGACCAAAAATTCACATAATGAGGGTTATATAAGTTTACACTATCTCTTATTTAGCCATTTAAATAATGTGAAATCTCCAATCAAAACTCATATTAATATGGCTATGTGCATAAGAATTTCCCAAGTCTAATCACAAAAATAAGGCTAACACAGAGATAATATAAATACTTAGTGTCATGCTCAAAACTTCTTGAAAGTTAATTGTAAATAAAATTCAATCTCATCATAGAATTGGGAAGGACTTGCCGCAAACAAATAAAAACAAGACTCAAAGTAAAAAATAAAAAATAAAAAACTTTTGGGTTTTCTGAAAATTTTCAGATTTTTTAAATTATTTTTTTAAATGAAAAAAAGGAAAATAAAACAAACATTAAAATAAAAGTTAATTAAATAAAAACCAAAAGTTGAAATGAATTGAAAACCAATAAACAAAATTGCAGTTTTGACCCAGGCACAAAAAATTACATGTATCCCACACAAAATACTTGGCCAAAGTTCACGTTCTTTATATGGTTGGATTCAGAACAAAAAAACAAAGAACATTGCGCGGACCAAAATACAAAAACAGCAGCGGACAAGAATAGAATTGGAAACAAAGTTAGAGGACTGCTGCATACATTATGAAACCAAAGAACTCAGTCACCCACAACTTAAAACAAACATTGTCCTCAATGTTTAAAACAAAGAAAACTAATTCATGCAAAATCAATTCAAGAGAGAGAGGGTGTGAGAATTGTTTACACCATATTCAACCGAGTACATTCGGTACTGGGAACTGGAGCATAGATAGACTCATAGGCCTGCTGAAGATAACATCGACGATGCCGTAATGTCCTCCTCCGATGCGGCAACTGCCTGTCGAAGGTAGTTGCCGAAACTCTTAACTACAAAAGCTAATCCACGGACATGTGTCGCCACTACTGCAACTTGCACAAAGTCCCACATCGAAACTTTGTGCAAAATCCCACTTCCACCTTTCTACAAAAAGGAGCACAAATCCCCAAAATGAGGTAACGCCTTTTTACTTTTACTATTACTCTGCCAAAAGTACCATATATCTTATATCTGCTGACTTAAGCATAAGAGAACTTTTACCAGGTACCGCATCGGTGCCTGAAGATTCATGAACCCCCTCACCCCAAAAAAGAGCATCAACAGTTTGGTGCCGTATGTGGGAAATGACTTCTGAATCCCACTTTTCTATAAGTTCCGCCGATTCCCTCTCTTATCTGACCCCGTCATCTCTTCTGCCCTTCACATTTCGCAATGCTGAGCGAAGCTAGCCTTGGTACCCAGCACCATACCTCGCATGGGGAGTCCTCTCAAAGGAAACCTCCGATCAATGCACATCGCCAAGTCAAAGTAGAGTGCCTTCGTGCTGACATTGCCAAAATGACAGAGAGCTAAAATCACATTCCTACCAAGAGTGCCGAATTGGAATACGATTACTGAACCTTGAAGCATAATTGGGAGAACGCTCACCACCAATTCACCCAGCATGACCTCACCCAGGGTGTTGAACACACTCACCAAACCCACAAGCCATCTCCCGTCACAGTGCCTCGACCCAGCCTAGGCCTGACAAAGGCAAGGTCCATCTTCATCCTAAAATGACTAAGTCGTGACTTCTCCAAATCTCTCAGCCAAAGCATCGGCCTTATGCCTCGACCAAGATTTATAGGGACTGTAGGGACCAAATCTCGGAGCTTTGGATAAAGCTCATCCCTATTCCTGTAGACCTCGACTATCCCCTGGTCGCTCACCTTAGACCTCTATTGAAGCCCACCCGCTTACTTACCCAAGATGGGGTTGGGGACTCGGATGATTGGGAACCTAACCATCCGGAGGACTAGGAGCCTTACCATTATGAAGCTTTCGAGGGATAGGAAACTTATCCATCTCTGCCCACCTAACAACATAAGTTTTCGGTGCCCGACCCTCCCTTATATCGATCATGCCATGAAACTCATTTTCAAGAAGGTTAGATGTCTCGAGGATGAGCAGCACTGCAGCCACTAGCCCCTTTGGATGAAGCCATGCCCTGGCCCATTTGCCGAGTGTATCCTCAACTATCGTCAGGAAAAGAATGTTCAGCTGCTTCGCTTCGCCTTCTACATGGGTAAGGAAGACCATCTGACCCACATCTATTCTTTTTAGTCTGCCCTAGGGTGCAAGGGTCTCAGTGATGAAGGCATGTGCCTCCTTTTACCCTTCACCCTCAATGATACTGCTTTAAATTGGTTCTACCAACTGAACCCTGGCACTATCAACTCATTCGACCGCTTGAAGCAGACTTTCCTCGTCCATTTCATCATTTAGACTAATCCTCTATACTCTGCGGACGGTCTATATATGCTTCAGCAGGGTGAAGACGAGCTTCTGTAAAAGTACACCGCCTGCTTCAGCCACGAGTATTCCCTTTACCCAAAAACAAAGGATCGTGCTTCCTTCGGTGCCTTCAAGAGTGGCCTTCGTGAATCCACATTTTGATAACTAGTCCACAGCAACCCATTGAACACTTATACCGAATTAATGAAGCAAGCGGCCATCTATGCTAAGGCCGAATACTTTCAACTTTAAGCGCAGCCTTATCAACCACTCCAGGACCATCTTCGGTGACCTACCTCAAGCTTCGGCACCTACCCCCACCAAATCCAACCATTACTTCCTACCCCTGACACTCAGGATGCCCAAAACCCTAAAAGGAAGGACGGCTACCAACGCTCCTTCAACAATGGGAAATGCAGCAGACACTTTAACCATCATCAATTTGGCAGCAATAACCCCCTAAAGACAAATGGTCATGCCCTTCTCTCATATGAGCCTAAGCCCAGGTTCAAAGTGTTCATCACACTAAATACCACTTATGAGCATGTTCTTGTCAATTAGGCACCTATAACCCCCTTCCTAAGGACCTACCAACAACCCTACGTCGAACATCGATGTATTTTACCATTTTCACCAATTCAACAACCATGATATAGAATCTTGCATCGCTCTACGGAACATCATTGTATGCCCTATTCATCAAGGAAAATTAGATAAGTATGTCCACAACCTTCCGCCTCCCCCAAACCCTCACCAGCGTCATATCAATACGATCTCCACCATCAGCGGTGGCATTACTCTGGGTGGCAAATCCAACAACTCTATTAAGCATTATGTCCGGTCCTCCTATGCACATTAAGTCTTTAGCACTGAGCATGGATGCATATCGAAGATGTCCAGAACATGTTGAGACCCCATTATCTTCAGCAAGGAAAAGGAGCATGGCACCATCTTTCCCCATGATGATTCGCTGGTTATTCGAGCAAACATTTCTAACTTTGATGTCGAACGTATCCTTGTTGACACCGCGGTAACTCGGTGAGTGTCATGTTCGCAGGAGCGTTCAACGAACTTCATGTCCTTGACCACCTGCTTGATCGAACCATCAAGATTTTTGTGAGTTTCTCTGGCGATCTCGTCTAACCTATTGAGAGCATCCACCTCCTCATTTCAATCGGTTCGGCACCTCAATGACCCATGATTACTACTCATTTTCTAATCGTTGATTGCCCCACGACCTACAATGTCATCCTTGGACACTCAACCTTGGCACAAATGAGGGCCTTCATCTCTACACATATGTTGATGCTGCAGTTCTTCACTCTTCATGGCACGAGCATGGTGCGAGGCGACGAACTTGGCGCTAAGCTGCTATGCTTCGGCTGTTAAATCTACCAGTTACCCTCTATGGCTTGAATCTCTTTCTGTAACCATAGCTCCACCACTTCCTCGCCCTGGCACTGAGCGACCTGAGGATCCTAGTAAAGAATCCATCACTTCCCAGGCCGAACCAATGAAAGATCTTGAACTTGTTTGCCTCCATGATGACATTCGCTTCGCACTCATCGGCTTCCTCTGCCATAACTCAGAGGTTTTCACTTGGTCCCACAATGATATGCTCAACATATCACCCAACATCATCTCCTATAAGTTAAGCATTAATCCCGTCGTACGACCCGTTTTGTAGAAGCGTCGTGCCTACGACCCAGACCCAGATAAGTATGAAGCCATGAAGACAGAGGTGGAGAAACTACGAAGCATCGGTTTCATCAAGGAGGTGGACTATCCCACATGACTGGCAAATGTGGTAATGGTCAGCAAACCAAAAATGGGATGGCGCATGTGTGTAAACTACACCAACCTCAATTGCGCCTGTCCGAAGGATAGCTTCCCTCTCCCTCACATCGACCAACTTATCGACACCACTACAGGCCATCCCTCCTCAGCTTCATGGATGCCTACTTCAGCTATAGCTAGATCTTCATGCACTCTGACGAACGGGCCTACACATCCTTCATTAGCGACCGAGGCCTATATTTTTACAAGGTGATGCCCTTCAGCCTAAAAAGCATTGGAGTTGCTTACTAGCGCCTAGTAGACATCCTGTTCACCTCATTAATCGGCCACATATGGAGGTCTACGTTGATGACATGTTAGTCAAAAGTCGCACCATCGATCAACATATCCCTCACCTGTCAACTCTGTTCTCCCTAACCTGTCAACTATGTTCTCCTGCATACATTATGAAACCAAAGATCTCAATCACCCACAACTTAAAACAAACATTGTCCTCAATGTTTAAAACAAAGAAAACTAATTCATGCAAAATCAATTAAAGACAGGAGATGGTGCAAGAATTTCCCGAGTTTGTATAGGTGTGTGGATGAGCAAAGCGTAGAATATGTCGAAGTGAGCGAGGATAGACAATGTGACGAACTCAAACACCCACAACTTGTTTCTTGGAATGTTAGCGGATCCGAAATAACTCCTAGATGTGTTTGACCATGACGACATTTGGTCTGAATTTTCTCTGGAAATTTGACTTCTAGTGACGAAAAATCTGAAGAAAACCATCGCAAAAAACCTTTAGCCACGAAAAATCTAATAAACATCCGTTGCTAAAACCTTTGGTGACGAAAAATATTCAAATTTCTAGGCAAAACAACAACTGAGTTTTTTTGGGTTTTAGGTCCTTTTTTGAGCTTCAACATAGAAACCATTCTAAACATATCGATGGCTACAAATTGACCTGAAAAACAACAAAAAAGACATTAGGCAAAAATTTTGATTTTGACCAAAATAAGAACTTACTTAGATATGTTGCTATTTTCTGGTATTTAACTTAAACCAATGACAAAAAAAACTTCTGTAACACATCTGAAATGTGCTGCAAACATCCTAGGGTAGAAAAATGCGAAAAATTTTCTTTGGAACCCAAAATCCTTTGTTTGATGATGCAAAACTTAACAAAAACAAAAACATGAAAAATGTACGAGAAATCACACATAAACTAAAAGCAAAAGCGAAAACAAAAGTTAAGAATGCTTGGGCTGCCTCCCAAGAAGCGCTTCTTTAAAGTCATGAGCAAGAATTTTTGAATGTCTACGGTGGTGCGAAAGTAGCAAAGAATGCTAAGTCTTCCATGTAGTGCTTGGGTTGTTGTCCAAACTCCTTGCGAACAATAGCCTTTTCATGCAATGTCTTGGTGTTATCCTTGGCAAGCCACAGGAGTCAGCTCATCTTGGAGAAGCTTTTGATAAAACATTGATAAATTTTGGTACGTCCAAGAGAAGTGCGCATGCATTTCACGTTTGGAGAGGGTGGCGACTTGGCTTTCAATACATCCGTAGAGGTGTTTTTCAAGTAGTTGACATATACAATTGAGTCAAGAAGATCTATGAGGTTGAACTCAATGGATTCACCTTGAACTCTCAAAGTTAAAGTTTCTTGTTGTACATCAATCAATGCACCAGCAGTAGCAAGGAAGGGCCGGTCTTGCAAGAGTGGGATGCCATGGTCTTCCTCCAGGTCAAGAACAAAGAAATCAGCCGGCAACACAAATTGCTTCACTCTGATCAACGGTAGTACTTGAGCTCTCCAATACCTAATCGCTGAAAAATAGACAAAGACATAAGGTTAATGCTTGAGCCTAAATTTAAAAATGCTTTATCAAATTGAATATCACAAAAAATACAAGGAATTATAAAACTCCCTGGGTCCTTCAGTTTTGGAGGCAATTTCTTGACTAACACCGCATTGCAGTCTTCAGTTTGCATCACTTTTTCATGAGCTGCAAATTTCCTCTTATTTGTACATGCATCCTTCAAACATTTTTATGGAGTTCAGTAATGGAATATTGATATGGACCTTTTTGAACATCTCCAAAATATTTGATCTTTTTTATTTATTTATATATTTATTTATTTATGGAGTCGATCCAACAGTCCGAACATATCGAACCTAGATTAGGCCTAATATGCGTAAATCCGATCGACCACCAAACGATAACCAAATTCAAATCCGAGCATACCGTCTTGCTCGGGACGACATAGGGATCATTTTTGGACCAACTGGGCCACCCAGATATGGCCTATGCGCCGCCACACGTACCAACTGGATTTATGAATTTTCTATATGAATTTGGTGAACTTATTAGGTGAATTTATCTTCTGTAGGAAGTTGGAAAGCCAAAAGATGAAGACATACATTTGTCCAAGTTCAAGGTAGGTGTGAAGAGAATTGTTGGCGGATTTTATTGAAGAATTGATTGTGGGATTATTGTGATTATAAAGAGAAGTAAAGAGGGAGAAGGGAAGACACAACCGTTGAAGCTAAAGAGCCTATTTCATGTCATTCATAGCCATTTAACGCCCATTTACCTCACCGTTATTTCTTTTCCACTAACTCTCCACCATCAACACATGTTCAATCCAATTAATCCCTCACTTAAACCCTTCATTACCCACCATGATGTATTAACTTCCCACTCACCTCATTGACTACTATAAATCACCCATCAACTTATTTGGCAAGGGCACCACTATGACAGATTTCTTTATCTGTTTCATTCAAAATTTAATTTATGTTTTCCTTTGTAATGAGTTGCTAGAACTCTAGCTAAGGCTAAAGGGAATGTTCTTTGAGTAAGTTCGTGAATTGTTCTTTGATCCAATATACGGCATGAATTGCTAAATTCTTTTATTTTTGGTTGTTCAATATTTTCATATCCTTTTATTTTGATTGATGTTAAATACTATTATCTTTTCACGAGTTTAATTATATTTTCCTCATTGTTAAGAATTGACTTAGCATGCTTTTAAATTAAAAGAGTAGATATTAAGCAATTTCATTTTCTGAACAATCATTAATAAAAGATAACATTGAAAAATTAAATTGGTTTTAATTTATTTATCTTCCAGTTAAAGTTTCTCAATGATGATTTTAATCGAGTTATAATTTAGATTAAATAGCATGAAACATATTTTGTTTAAAGAATTGAACCTTGATACCTTAGCATTTCCATTATTGATATTTCATTTTTAAACTCAATTTCCACAACAATCAAATCAAATTACTTTTCCATTTTGCTTACCACTTTTATTGTGGCACGTTTAATTATTTCTTTGCATGCAGATATTTGCCTACATGCTCCTTGAAGATATGATACTTGGACTTCCAAGATTATTACTACGTGTGACTACTTGCACTTGGGTAGACGTAACAACTATCATATGTTCAACTTTCTACCTACTATAGATCAAAAGTTAATTTCCTTCTTAAAAAATTAAAAAATTAGGACTTTTTTTTTTTTTTTTTTGGGATAGAAAATTGGGCCTTTTAAAGCTTGGTCGGTTTCTTTAATTATTACGATGAAGTCAAATATCCTTTTTTTTTTTTTTGGTCGAATGTATATCAAGACGTAACCTGGACGGTACAAATCCTTGGTTTATATTATAAGTTGAGCTTATAATGACTGTCCGTAATTTCTGGGTTCATGTCATCCACATTTTGTTAAGAAATATGTGGACCTTAGATAAGATAAGATAAGATGAACACTTGAAATTAGCTTACATACGTACAACAGATACACACCAGTAAGATATCTTTAGAAAACAAGGACCGCATACGCATGTTAAATCCTTTTGTATGAATATTGGACAATCCTTGCAATTTAAGGACGGGGACTTGTCATATAGGCAATCGCTACCTGTTCAAGATGTTGCAGGCACCAGTACTATCGATTAGACGTGACTAATTTAGTGAAAGCTACAACTGTAAATTCAACACGTACTGGTGCATAAACTACTTTGACAGAAAATGAAGACAATTGATGATCGTCGTAAATACTGATGATAACCCTTACGCATTTTAGATGGAGAAAGAAATCGTTTGCACAATTCTGTTCATACAAGGGCCACGTATCTGTCTCGTGTAGTTAGATGTGAGTTAACGTCATTGACATCCATTTCATGTGACACGAATGTCTTATTCTATCTTTCTCATGCACAAGGTAAATGCTTAAAACTGTTGTACAAATCTAAAGGAAAAAGTTCTGATTAATTGTAAGAAACTGTCATTGGTCAACTTGCTTAACTACAGGTTTAATACAAAAACCATTTTGCGAAAACTGCATGGCATAGCTGAACAAGATGGGGAGGAGAATGAAAAAAAGGAGGGAAGACGGTGGGGGAGGGAATAGATAGATGGGGACGAGGGAAGGTCATCAAAGTCGAAGGGTAAAATTGGAGTTGGCTCCAACTCGGAAAAAAAAAGTTTTACTTTTGTTTAAAAATGCCATGTGGGATCTTTTGAGTGGAAGTAAAACCAATTGATATTGTGATCCTGTACCACTCAAATGAAAAATTATAGAATGGTATTGTATCATTATGTCAGCTGGTGATACTCCAACTCAATTTTTGTCATGTGTAAATAAAACTCTTTATTCAGCTGGATTTAAAAGTTTATTTTTACATTTTCAACTTAAATTTTTTTAAAAAAAAAACTTGAAGAAAAAAAAAAGCAGCCCCAACCCTTCCTCGCAGACAAGTCCCCCCGCCCCCATGGCCTGTCATGGTTGTGGCTCATCTTCCTTATTTCCCCATCTTTCTTATCTCTTTACCTTACAATTTCTCAACACAACCTTAAACATTAAAAGGAGAGGCTTGAGAATCATCATCTAGTGTACCTAATAATTGCCACGGTTGATCCTTGTCTCTCTCTCTCTCAATGTAGGGTTCAATGAAATAGATTGAGGATCTAAAAGATGTAGGTTTATGGTATTGAAGAATAAACTGAATCCTCTATGGAAATATATGCTTCGCCAATAAGTCTTTAGGAATTTGGCAGTGATTGATTTCCGTGGTAGTAAGTTGGGGGAAGGGCCTTCGTCGTTCAGCCTGCTGGTTGCTAGTGGTAGTGGCGCGGCTGACAGGCAAGGGGCCGGCCGTCCGGCCGCGGCCAGTGGTGGGGAAAGTTTGATCTCGCTAACTTCACTCCAAAAAAGGTCATCCAACTACAACACTAATAGTTTTGGTTGGAATAAAGCTCCTATATATAGAAAAAGTCAAGCATTCATAAGCCTTTGCATCTAACGTATATGGTACATTCCGAAATCCATTGACATCATTCTAGAAATCTAAAATTTGAGAAAATTTGTTACATCCTTGACACGATCTTAGCTGATTTTGTGTCATATATATCCTCCATAGTCTGCAGAGTCTCCCCAGTCATCTTCCCGAGCTCCTGCT